GGGTTACAGCTTATATACGCCCACTGCTGGGCACAAGCCTCCTCTCATTTCTGATAGGGTTACAGCCTATATACGCCCACTGCTGGGAACAAGCCTCCTATCATTTCTGAGAGGGTTTTTGGGCAGGGAAATATTCGCCACGCTGCCCCAATGCTTGATGGCGAACTTCAGATATCTTAGATTTTTTTTCTCATACATACAGGTTTCCTCACGATGTTTTACTTCACCGCCGAGCACGTGATAAATATGCACTTAAAATTTCAATTTTAACAATTTCATTGGTGCCGGTGGGTATTGCATCCGTGTTGCTCGCGTACTATGATATTTTCAGCGAGCGCTTTGCCCCTGAGTTATAATGGCTTTTAAATTGTCATTTAAGTAATTGCTTTGACGGCTCTGAGGCGCAGTGGTTTAGCAATGAGTTGAACACTGAGAGCCGCTGGTACGAATCTCGCACGGAACAAGTATTTGTGTGACCTATAAATAATTGATGCGGGTCTGGATGTTGGCCTTGTGAGTAGTGTAGTTGTACCACTTCTAGACCACCTGAGTCAGACGTGGTTCAACGACGTTCGTCGACGCCCGATCCTAAAAAAAAAAAAAAAAGGTTTTGGCAAGCTCTGATCACGAATCCGCGGTCCATTTTTGTGTAGAATGCACGGTTCCGGAGATGTGTAGATCAATTAGCTAATATCTAATTGATATCCGGTAAGGGCCTCCACCGTCATTAGCGTCCCATTGTTCCTATTTCTATTGTTCTATTGTTCCTTAATCACCTTCATTGCAGCGTGTGCGTCGACTATATCAGTGCTATTGTTTATTATAATTCTTTGTTTATACAACGCTAATCTGAATCATCAATAAAACACATTACATAATTTTGTTACAATTTTTATTTATAAAATACAAAATCTTATTAATTATTATCTATAAAATAGGAGCGAAACATCTCACCCACTAAAATATCGTTGTACAATGTGTTCCTTGTAAATATACTCGTAAAACTATGTATTGAACATCCTTGAAACTTATATAGCAAATACATTAAGCAATATTCGCCACAAACTGAAGTCCACTCATTCTGAATCCTATCAACATTCCAGTTCCATCTTTTACAATTCCTTTTTAAAAACTCTAGATGATATCGTACAGGTGATCGTCCATATGAATCAAAATATTGACCGACGTCATTCGTATCGATATATAAAGCTACCCAATGTGACCCTGGTTTATCATCTGTATCCAAATTACATATTATATACGTTGGTACGTGGGTATACATAGGCAGTCTATTAGCTGCATAAACATTATTTTCTAGACTGGGGTGAATCTTTTCCAGATGTTGTTGTACATCTAGTGTATCCATGATATTACTGCTATTAGTAGATTATTACAGTACCTAGCTACTCAATGAATAACATAGGAATGGTCAATTATAGTGATTTCTACATATTAAATTGCATTTTTGTGTTATACAAATCGTACTTGAGTCATTGATCACCAAACAAAACACAATACGAAGAAATGTTGAGATAGGCAACGGAAATGTGAGATAAACTGATATGTTTCTAAATATTAAATTGCATTTTTGTGTTATACAAATCGTACTTGAGTCATTGATCACCAAACAAAACACAATACGAAGAAATGTTGAGATAGGCAATGGAAATGTGAGATAAACTGGTTGACGCATAAAGTAATTATCAACTCATTACGGAAATACTTTAGATTAGAATTTTTACGTTCTGGTGGTATATAAGACCAACAAACGCAGTCATCGAGTTAGTGTACGGTCGTTTGGCTACAGTGGATCTATCAATAGTACATTTTGTGTTACTTCAATACACCAAAGGCTATGGATGTAAGTGTTTATTCTATTGACTAAATTACTTTTTTTCTGTTATTTTCATGTGTGTGTATTATTTTATTTAAATTATTATATGATTAAGCCGTGGTAACTCAGATGGTTAGCGCTAGCTGTAAATTTCACAGTACGCGACCCGGGTTCGATCCCCGCCAGCACCAATTAAATTGTTAATAGCAATTTTAAGTGCTTATTACCACGAGCTTGGTGGTGAAGGAAAACATCGTGAGGAAACCTGCATGTCTGAGAAAATTTCGAAGACATGTGAAGTTCGCCAACACACATTGAGGGAGCGCGGCGGACATTTCCTTGCTCTAAAACCCTCTCAGAAATGAGAGGAGGCCTATGTTCAGCAGTGGACTTTAATAGGCTGTAACTTTAACTTTTTTAACTTTTATGATTAAGTGTTAACAAATTGATATTAACATGATAACTGTGTTGTTGCAGAAATCATTGAGCTTCGATGAAGATACCTATAAACAGTATTACTACTCGCCACTCTCCCCTCAAGAAGAGAGTGATAACCTCGTCATTAATTATAACACATGCGATGGTGGAAAAAGAAAATCGCAATCGATTGATCATTTTTTGAAGCTGAATCAAAAATAAAAAAGAGGAAGGGAAAACTTCAGTGAAGTGTGCACCAGTGCTTTTTTCTCCACAATCATGGAAGAGAATACGGAACTATTCAATAGCGAATTAAATCAGGAGTTGTCTAAAGTTTGTGAAGAAATGGAGAGGGGTCAGCTGTTCGATTCGTCATACGATGATGAGTTGTATCATCACTGTGCGATGGTTGAAACACAGTTTAAGTATGTAAAATAAACATTCATTTCGATCATAATTTACATATTGTCTTATACAGTTTTTAATAAATTTAAACATTTTAGCAGTCAACCACTACAACTTGGAAGAGGAACGAAGCGAACGTGCAGCAAAGAATCCAAGATCATCAAAAAACCAACAACGGAAGCAGAAGCGCATACCTCTGCAGGGAACAGTATCAGTAACGATGATCAAGTGGAATGTCCAACGTGCCATATATTTATCAAGAAACGGTATTTAGCTAATCATTTTAAAAGTAATGTTCATAAAAATAATCTTTTAAATTCACATAATTCTTTGTCAAACGTTAGTGTTATTGAATCTGCTTTTGGAAATAGGATTTTAACTTATAAAATCAAGAGTAGAGTAGATCGTTCGACATGGGTAAATTTTGAAACTCCTGAACTATTTTTAAATTCTATTAAAGATGATATTTTATTTTTATTACAAGAGTGTATTCATCAACACATAATTTTTAAGGTAAACTTCATATTGCATGCTGATTTTGTTCAACAAACTAAAGATATTCATGATACGTTCGATTTTCAAACGCTTAACTATATTATTTGTCAAGGAGATGACTTAAATATTTTTCTTTCATCTTTAAATGATACAATTACTACTAAAATTAGTGCTTTCGAAAAAAAAGATAGTGGATGGAGTCTAAAAAACATAAAATCTATAGACATGAATGTTAATAAATTTAACCCCCTACGCGGTACTTCATACATAGATCTTCCTCGTGACATAAAATTAAAAAAGGCTGTTATAAATGTAAAAAACAAGGATTATTTTTGTTTTAAATGGGCGTTACTCTCGGCGTTATATCCTGTAAACAAATACACCGATCGGGTATCATCGTACGTTAAACATGCAAATAAACTTAAATTTGATGGTATTTCCTTTCCGGTTAAAATTTCTGACATAGCAAAAGTAGAGAAATTAAATGATATTAGTATTAATGTTTTTGGGTTAGAATATAATAAAGAAAAACGATGTAATTCTATAGTAGGTCCATTATTTTTAACAAAGTGTCGTAAAGATAGACATATCAATTTATTATTTTTTTCCAAGGATACAAAAAATCATTATTGCTATATAAAAAATTTATCGCGGTTAGTTAGTAAACAAATTTCAAAAGACGGTCACATCATGTACATTTGTGAAGCATGTCTACTTCGTTTTCCATCTCAGAAAAGGTTAAATAACCATGAACAATACGATTGTGCCCACATTTGAACAGTATTACCAAACAGTGAAACTTTAAAAAAAAAGAATTGGTTTGGTCAACCTATTTCAAATGATAAAATTAAATTTGATAGTTATGAAAAAAAGTTAAAGATACCATTCGTAGTTTATGCTGATTTTGAAGCATTTTTAAAACCAATAGAATCATGTTCTAACGATCCTTCCAAACCTTTCACTCATAATATTCAGAAACATGAAGTACATAGTTTTGGATATTATATAAAATGTTCATATGATGATAAATTATCAAAATATATAACATATTGCGGACCCAACTGTGCACAAGTGTTTATGGAAAGTTTATCTAACAATCTAAAAGAAATAAATAGACTTCAAAAATATCCACCACTTCCGCTAACAAATGAAGACAAAAACCAAATTTCAAATGCAACCATTTGTCATATTTGTGAAACTGAGTTGGCAAAACATTTTTATGATTTTGATTGGTACACTGGTAGTTTTATAGGTGTTGCTCATGAATCATGTTGTTCGAAGATCAGAACACCTAGTTATATACCAATATTTTTACACAACCTTAGTCACTATGATGCTCATTTTATTGTTCACGCGTTAAACTTTTGTGATGGTGAAGTCGAAGTTATCCCTCAAAATAAAGAAAAATATATATCCTTTTCCAAAAAATTAAAAGTGAATAACCACGAAATTATATTGAGATTCTTAGATTCATTTAAGTTTTTATCGTGTAAATTAGAAGAATTGGCCAAAAATCTCAGTAATGATCAATTTCAAGAATTACGTAGAAATTACCCTAATGATGAAGATTTCTTTCGTTTAAAACGGAAAGGTGTTTATCCATATGAACTTATGACTAATTATGATAGTTTAAGTCTAACATCGCTCCCTGAACAAAAATGTTTTTATAGTTCACTCACAGATTCACATATTTCAAATGATGATTACAATCATGCTAAAGATGTTTGGGAACATTTTGGGTGTTGTAATATGCTAGATTATTCAAACCTATATTTAAAAACAGACGTTTTACTTTTATCCGATGTATTTGAAAACTTTAGAAAGTAATGTATTAATACATATGATTTAGACCCTGTCCATTATTACACAGCACCCGGTTTAAGTTGGGATGCAATGTTAAAATATACAAAAATAGAATTAGAACTTTTAACAGATTATGAGAAAATTGCATTTATTAGATCAGGTATCAGAGGTGGTGTATCTCAATGTAGTAATCGTTATGCTAGAGCTAATAACAAATACATGGAGGATTATGATACAGGGAAACCAAATTCATATATCACATATTTTGATGCCAACAATTTATATGGTTGGGCTATGTCTCAATATCTTCCTACTGGTGGATTCGAATGGGTAAATCCAAATACAGAATTTAATGTGTCTAAGACATCAGACTTCGGTTTTATTTTAGAAGTTGATTTGGAATATCCAGATGAACTTCATTATTTACATTCGGACTTTCCTTTATGTCCAGAAAACATTTGTGTAGGCAATATTAATGAGAATAAACTAGTCCCAAATTTAAATAATAAAGATAAATATGTAATTCATTACAGAAATTTAAAGCAGTGCATAGAAATGGGGGTTAAATTAACTAAAATTCATAGAGTTTTAAAATTTAAACAGTCTCCCTGGTTGAAGATGTACATAGATCTAAACACAAAATTAAGAACTTTAGCAAAATCAGATTTCGAAAAAGATTTTTATAAATTAATGAATAATTCAGTCTTCGGTAAGACTATGGAGAATATTGAAAAAAGGGTTAACATAAAATTAGTTACGCACTGGGAGAACCAGGGTAAAGCTTTAGGTGCTCAAGATCTAATCGCTAAACCACAATTTCATAGCCTTTCAATATTTTCGGAAAACCTAGTTGCGGTTCAGTTGCAAAAAACGAAGTTAATATATAACAAACCAATTTATTTAGGGTTTTGCATTTTAGATATTTCAAAAACATTAATGTATGATTTTCATTATAACTATATGATTAAAAAGTTTAGTAAAATCAAATTATTGTATACAGATACGGATAGTTTAATATATCATATATTTACAAATGATTTTTACACTGATATAAAACCTGACCTTTCATCATACTTTGATACCTCAGATTATGATACAAATAATATTTTTGAATATCCAAAATTAAATAAAAAGAAATTAGGTTTTTTTAAAGATGAAAATAATGGTAAAATCATGAAAGAATTTGTGGGTTTACGATCCAAAATGTACGCTTTTAACTTAGAGAATAAGACTATAGCCAAGTCAAAAGGGGTAAATAAATGTATCACTAAAAAGATGACAATGAATAGTTATAAGTCTTCTCTATTTAATAAAAAAGTGCAATATTATAGTATGCTTAGATTTAAATCAATTAAACACACAATTTTCACACAAAAATTAAATAAGATAGGTTTATCATATAATGACACAAAGAGACATATTTTAGATAATAATATTGAAACATTAGCTTGGGGTCATTATAAACTGCGTTAAGTGTTGATAGTTTTTACTTTTATGTCTGCGTTTAAGAAAAATTTATATTGATTGTAAAATTATGATAATACTATAATATGACGTAGTTTATTACATATTTAAACATTGTTTTATTGTAAATAATTTAAGTTAATTGTTGTTTCTATTTATTTGAGGTTGAGTTAATTGTAAAATTATGATGTACTAATTGTTGTTTCTATTTATTTGAGGTTGAGTTAATTGTAAAATTATGATGTACTAATTGTTGTTTCTATTTATTTGAGGTTGAGTTAATTGTAAAATTATGATGTACTAATTGTGTTAGAAATAGTGTATACAGATAATTCTGTTTTATATAATTTTTGGAATATATATTAATTGTTTACACCAACACTTTCATTTTTTATTTCACCCCTTTGAACTTTAGACGTGTGTTATGTTTCACTTTATCCATCCGTTCACTGCTATTGTGGCAGGACCAAGTGGGTGTGGGAAGTCAAATTTTGTAACAAATTTCATAAAATCAGTTACAGAAATATGTAATTGTGATTTTAATCAGATCACATGGTGCTTTGATGAAATGCAACCATTATATAATTTACCAAATGTTAACTATCATCAAGGAATTCCAAATCTTAATATGTTTGATGGTGAAAACCCACATCTTGTTATTATTGATGATCTAATGAGAGAGTCCGATGGAAGAATTGTGGATTACAATTTACAAAAGGTAGTCATCACAGGAATCTTAGTGTATTTTATCTAACACAAAATTTATTTCATCAGGGTAAAGGACAAAGAGACATATCTTTAAACTCAAGTTATATAATATATTTTAAAAACCCTCGAGATAAAACTCAAATAAGATATTTAGCAAGACAAGTATCACCAGATAACCCAAAATTCATTGAAAATGCCTACAGGGATGCAACTCTAGAGGCGCATGGATATTTAATGGTAGATTTAAAACAGAATACCAATGATTTTTGTCGTATCAAGACAAATGTCTTTCCATTTAATGGTTTCTGTACAGTCTACGTCCCCACAAAAGAGTTTAAATACACCAAGAATCAAACAATTGAAATCATTGCTAAATGATGCATCGTCGACTCACAACGTATAAACATTTGCTAACCGCTTTGCATACGCTTAAACCAAAATATCAAAGAGCATTACTTAAAACGTGTGATGAAGAAGAAATTAACTGTATTTGTGAGTGTATTCATAACGTTTTACAAGGAAAAGTACCTCTTAAAGATCAGGATAAACAAAAATTGAATAAACATAAAAACATACTCCGTAAACTAGTACGTAAGTGTAAACATAAACTAAGAAAAAATATAATTATACAAAAAGGAGGGGCTTTCTTACCAACAATATTAGGTGCATTATTGAGTGGATTAGTGAGTGGACTAGCCAGTTAACATGGAAAATGCAAAGAAAATGATACTTATCGAACCTGGATTGATTGAAAAATTAAAACAAGAAAATAAGGTTAATAGTAATTTATCTCGATTAGATATTGAAATGCAAAATATTATGAATAGTAAGACGGAAGACCGAAAGAAATGGATATTATATTTACAAACACTGCAAAGATACCTTCATTTTACCGAAGAGGATCGTCAACCACTCAAATTACCAATTTATTCTGATACATCTAATGAAGATTCAAATGAGTCAAAAATTGGTTTTAAAAATAAAGATAGAGATCTAAAAACTTCAGTTGATATTGAATCTTTGCTGGAGGAGAATCGATCCATTAAAAGTAAAGAAAATGATGAAAATCCACTTTACACACCAACTCAAATACTCAGTTTAATACCAAAAACTTATCATAAAAAAGGGCAGTTATTATTAAACTTAGTTGAAACAAGTAAAAGTAAAATACATTGGGATAACGAAGGTACAGTCATAATTGATAGTGAAAAAATTCCTGGAAGTAATATTGTTGATTTAATAAATGATTCACTAAGACCCCTAAAAAGAAGTGATCCGGTAGGGTGGGTTAGATTTGCTGAAGCATTAAAAGATATTAAAGTACCACTTACTTATATTGGAAATCCAAGGAGATGTGAGTTTATTAACCAACTTCAAGCAAAAGATCTGAACAAACCCTCTGAGATTGAAGTTCAAGAGTTTTCTACACCGTGCAGTAGAGATAAAAAGTCTACAACTAAAATACGTAAAGGACTTGAGTGGGAAAAATGGACTCCGTACTAGAAGAAATTAACAGGATTTATTATGATCCATCTAATCCCGCTGGTTTTGGTAGTATTGATAAATTATCAAAAGCCATGAAGGGTAAAATGAATAAAAAGCAAGTAAAGGAATGGTTAAAATCACAAGAAACATACACATTACATAAACCCATTCGAAAAAAATTCCCGCGTAATAGGTACATTCTATCAAATATTAATGAACTGTGGCAAGCTGATTTAAGTGATATGCGAACTTATTCTCAATATAATGATGGTTTCAAGTATATACTTTGTATTATTGATGTATTTAGTTAATATGCTTTTGCAAGACCAATGAAAAAGAAAAACTCAGAAACAACTAAAGAATTTTTTGAAAGTATATTTACTGAAAGTAATTTAACACCTACTCACATACAATCCGATAAAGGTACAGAATTTGTTTCAAAAGATGTACAAAAATACTTTAAATCCAAAAAGATTAATTACTATACCACTAACAATCCTGACATTAAGGCCAGTATTGTTGAACGATTTCAAAGAACACTAAAAATGAAAATGTGGCGTTATTTCACTCATAATAATACTTATAGATATATAGATGTTTTACAAGATTTAATATACTCTTATAATCACAGCTTTCACTCTAGTATTAAGATGTGCCCATGTGATGTAAATTCCAACAATATTATGACAGTTTGGACTAATCTTTATGACAGACGGTCAAAAAACTTTCTTTAGAAAATCCTAAACCAAATTTCAATGTGGGTGATTATGTTCGAATAACTAAATATAAACATGTATTCCAAAAAGGATATGAATCAAATTGGAGTGATGAAATATTTATTATATCTTCAATAATTGATAGATCTCCATGGGTTGTTTATACAATAACAGATTTACAAAATGAACCAATAATTGGTACTTTTTATGAAAGAGAATTACAGAAAATCACTTACAACCCCACCTCACAACATAAAATAGATAAAATAATTGACACTCGTTATTCAGGTAACAGAAAAGAAGTATTAGTGAAGTGGAAAGGTTATCCAGATAAATTTAACAGTTGGATTTTAGCTTCTAGTTTAAAAGAAATATGAATAAAGAAAGTTTCTATTTAACTTTGCTCAGCAATAGTTCAATGGAATACTTTCCTGATAACAAGACCACAAATTTTTCAACGAAATTACCAAAAGCTATAAAATTAGAAGGTGAATGGTCGGTTGGAGTTGTCGAGTTTCAATATCCATGTACCATGTTTACTGTTCAAGACCATGAAAATGTTATATACATTACAAAATCTATGTTAATGCCTAATGAAGATAAGCCATCCACAGTGTACTACAAAAAACATATTCCAGCTACCAACTATGATAACGTTGAGCATATTTTAAGAGTGTTAAATGGTATCGGAGAGAACTTGAAATTTCGCTATGATGAAATAACAAAATTTGTGTCTATTTCGGTATTGGATAAAAATATAACATCCGTAACATTATCACCCAAATTAAGTTTACAGCTAGGCTATGAACCAAATAAAAATCTCCTAGAGAGAAATTTTGGAAAGTGTCCTGCTAATTTACACTTAGGGTTACCATCTCAACTATTTCTATATTGCGATATTATCGATCCTCAGATTGTGGGTGATGTTATGACTCCTTTATTAAGAGTCATTTCATTAGATCCTACAAAATACATTTATGGTGCAAATAAAATGCACGTTTTCTCTCAACCTCACTACTTACCTGTTATGCGAAGAGAGTTCGATACGTTGGAAATAGTTATAAGATCGAGTACAGGACAAAAAATACCATTCCAGTTTGGAACCGCGTGTATTAAACTACATTTCCGAAAATTATAATAATGAATTCTCTTCGTGATCATCATAAATGTCCATATGAAAATTATTATACACATCAAGCTGGATCAGGAGTTGGAGTAATTTATAAGGGTTCACCATATCAACGCGGTCATGGTATTGGGAGCTTCTTAGGGGGGTTATTCAGATCAGTTTTACCTTTACTTTCAAGTGGTGCTCGAGTGATTGGTAAGGAGGCATTAAGCGCTGGAGTAGGACTTTTATCGGATATGGTTCAAGCCCGTCCTATGGAAGCCTCAATAAAAGATCGTCTAAAGCAAGTTAGTACGAATTTAAAACGAAAGGCTGATGAGAAAATTGATCAATTTAACATGACTGGATCTGGGTATAAAACTAAAAGAAAACGATTGACATCGTTCATTCCACCATTAACTGCTAAAGTGAAAGCTGCGAAAAAACTTAGTCTAAAACCAAAAAATATCAAAGATATATTTTCAAACTAAATATGTCTTTCCTTCATAATCATTCTTGCGAGTGCGTTAAGTCAGAATTGGATTTGTTTGCACTACCGTCTACACAAACTAGCATTGAAAATGGATTGTGGATTCATTATAAACCAATTTCATCTCTTGGTGATGATGGACCTATCGAGTTTCAAGTTCCTGGGACCGGCGATGACTACATAGATTTGTCTCATACATTACTCCACATAAAGGCAAAAGTATTAAATCAAGATTCAACTAACTTGGTATCTACTACAATAGTAGCACCTGTAAATAATTGGCTGCATTCACTTTTTAGTCAACTTGATGTTTATTTAAACCAAAAACTTGTATCACCACCTAATAATACCTATGCATATCGAGCATACATGGAAACCCTTTTAAACTATGCCCCTGCTGCTAAACAATCTCATCTTACTTGTAGTCTTTGGTATGAGGATACAGCAGGAAAAATGGATTCTACAGATGGTAAAAACATAGGATTTGTTAAAAGACAGGAAT